TGTCGCCAGCCCTGCCCATGCTAGAGCTTTCTTCCCAGCCCGTGGCTGTCAAGTAGTTGTTCGGTTGAAGTCCATCAAAAAGGAATTGACACATCCGGAAACGAGACATTCAGCCAAGATCCGGCTCCGCGATTCCTGTGTCCCTAAGGTATACCATCAAAACATCGGAGCATGGTGCTCAGCAATGCAACTTTCGTAACATGGAGCCGCCCTTTTCGCGTTCCGAGGTCAGCACAGTGTCCTCTCAGCTCGTTAGAGCATGCTGCATACCTCCGCTTTGGGCTCAGCCCCATGTCGGGGCCTCAGCACCTGCGAGTCTCTGACACTAAGGGCTGAGACTGGCCCATGAAAACAGTCGCTTGCGCTGTAGAACCCTTGGCACTCTTCAGCTGCTCAAGAGACGAAGACTGCGGCAGAGGCCTCTGACACCCGTTGAAGGTCCTGTTGAGAGGCACGAGCAGTCACATCAACATAAAGGCACAGGGCGTGTGGCCTTCCGTAAGTTCCTCGTAGTCGTCGAGGTGGACTGCAGCAGTCGCAGAAAATCACCCATTCTCGAGGCCAGCCGTGGCTCAACCCTTTGGCATAACCATCTGCTCGCCCATCGACTATGCAGTACCGCCTGTCAGTGTGTCGGTGGCCCAGTGCGTCAAGCCTTCAATATGATATAAAGTAGTGGGCATTATCCAACTCATATAAGTCGGTCATAAGCTTGTTTCTGGTGGTGCAAAGCAACGTTTTCGTAGCTGTTGGTTGGGCAACAACGCCCGTACAGCAAAGGCATAAGCAACTCAGAGAAAACCCAGGGACAGGTTAGGGCGACTTAATCGTGCTTGTGCATGTATGCATATGGATGGACAGACGGACGGATAGATGTAGGTGGCTACGCAGGTAGGGAGGAAATTACGTGGGCAGGGAGTGAGGGAGGGAGGATGGATGCATGGATGTACGGATGTACGGATGTATGGATGTACGGATGTATGTATATTATGTATGTCTGTGTATGCATATGGCATATGTATGTATGCATGTACGATACGTACACTGTAGTAGTTGTGAAGACGCCGAGTGTCATGCCAATCCACGAGCCAAGGAATCGAGAAGCTACATAGAAGACGAGCTTGTGTTAACTTGAGGTTCATACCCACCACAGTTCTTTGGGGTCGGCTAGGTGTCGTGCGAACTTTGTAAGGAGTCATGCATGTCGCCTTCTGCTTGGAGCTCATCCGAGGTATTTCCTGGTTCATCTGCATCCGGATTGCGTGCACTCCGAGGCATGCGCTCGCAGACCCCACTCAATGCCTCGGATCCAGGAAGGGGCTGCAAGAACCGTCAAGAAGACTGTTCCAGGCTGTGCGGGAGCCCACTGGCGAGACGCCCTCCTCGCTGTTGTTTCGGCGCCTGCGGGCTGACGACGAAGCCGCCTGGGACATAGACCTCATGCGCGGAAGCTGCCCTTGCTCCGAGCAGCTCACTGAAGCAGTCTCACACATTCTCACTTTTGCCCGCGTACCCTAGGATGCATCAGACCCAGTAGAATGGTGACATGTGGCGACGCAGACAGAGGAACTGGGCGAAGCCTCGAAGCCTCAAACCAGTGCCGTCTCAGGCTGATCAGGAGGCACTGCTGAATGAGACCATTCAAAGCTCAGGCACCCTCCGCCCGACGATTTGTTCACGATGCTTTTGTAGAGTTGTTGAAGCCGTGTATTCTTGGGGATCCGAGTGCGAGTGTAGATTTTCCCTGCAGTCATGTCATTATCATAAAGGAAAACTTTGCTTTGCATGGTTTGTGTGCAGCAAATTGAATAAGCACAAGCCATGTAGGCCGTGTGCACCGACAGCTTAGATTCGCCTTCTGCACGTCGGGCCTGTGCCGCATCCAAACACCACGAGACCAACACCTGTGGCAGATCCTTTTTTTGCGAACGGCATGCTGGATCGGTCCGCGCTTGGCGCTGAGCTTCGTTGTATTGAGCGCATTGCAGCAGCAAACTTTGCCTTTGCTGAAGCACTTCATATCATTCAGCAGTCAAACAGCTAGGGGGCTTGGTTAGCATGGGTACTTGCACATTCGAGGAAGGGGATCGAACAGCCAACGTCCAATCTCAATGGCCCGCACTCCACCATGGAGCCACACATTTAGATACATTTAGCCCTGCCTGTTGGAAAGGTGCTTGACGCAGCTGCTGCAAAGGAGACGAGTTGGCGCATGTCCACACAGGTCTAGAGAACATGGTGCTCGGACTCAAGGTACGTGCTGACAGCAGTGGTGACATGTTGAAATCTGCAGCAATGCCCAGTTGCAATGTTGAACGAGACCCGGATGCTTCTGAGAAGGATGAGAACCCGGGTGCAGCTCAACTGATGGTGCTTGAATGACCTGCGTGCTCGACACAATGCACATGGCAAGCAAGCACCGAACTGTCTACAAATATGTGCGACAGGGACGAGGTTCGCACGAGTTCCTAGCACACGGACGCTAGTGAGATAGGAAGTCAGATCACTGCTCGAACTGAATTGTCGGAATGGGACATTGCATGAGATAATTTGACTTTAGAGCTTGTGTCCGTCCTGTGCTGTTTTGAACGCGGCTTCTGCTGCCAATGCTGACCTGCTTCCTACAAATCAGAGGGAGTTTCTTGGCTACTTGCACGCTTCTGATGCGCAAGTCTTCTGGCAGAGAAATCTCAGGGTTCGCAACGCGCTGAAGATATCCGTGCTGCGAGGAGAAACTTCCAGGATACACAGCGCATGCTACTGCATAGACCATCGGCCGTCACTGTGGGACACCCAGACAGTCTTAGAGTTTCGCACACGGGATGTCGACGCGCCACCGTAATTGTCGCATCCAGCACCACGAGCCCATTTTGGGCATGCACCTTCAGAGATCAGATCTATAGGGATGCTAGAGCTGCAAACTATGAAATTCCAGGAATCTTTGTCGAATGTTCTTGCGAGACGTGTCTTCCTAAGCCAAACAGCATCACCAAGTCATGCTCTAGTCTAGCCATAATCTCTGCCAATTATGACTAACCAAGATGGACCCGACGGTCAACGTGCTGCGGAGGTGCGGGCACAACAGCACGATCTGCAGAACATATCGGATGATGTGCAAGAAGAGTCATTGCAGTTGTCGTTGGCTGATCCAGCTGCTCCTGACTCTGTCATTGTTCTGGACGTGGTGGTTTTGGTGTGAGAGTGTATGGGCAGGGGGATCCTAGACGGAACACATGCCCCAGATCCCTGTGCAACTCCGAACTGAAGTCGACATCAACTCCACTGCCTGCTGTGCAGACTCTCTGCAGGCTGCACCACGGCTTGGAGTGGCATCTCGGTGAGAGAACGCAGGAGCCCGGCATTTAGAAAGGGTGGTCGGAGCTTTGAGCGACAGGGGCTGTAAACATCAAGCCTGTTTGCCGACGCTGTGGACCAGACCCAGCCCTGCAGCTCTGCTGCTTGTGTCGCAGATTCAGTGACGAGCTGCAGCCAAGGAGCAACCTTGCGTGCACGATAGAGCCATTCTGCAAGGCTGTAGGGCCGGGCGTTGACACTGTTAGATAAGAATGATCGACTACAGACAATTCGAGAAGACAAGCTTCTAGAGGATGTTCCTGGTGCCGCGCGGTTCGATGTCGTCGTCAGCGAGGGCAAGACCCAGCAGCAGCGGTTTGTCGGGGTCTCAGACCTGAAATCTTTGCTGATCGGGGTTCTCATGATTCTGGACACGTTTTGGAAAAAGCTATTTTCCGGACGCATAGCTTAACTTCTATGGGGGGCCTTGTGCTTTGACTTGCTTGTTTGATGTTCCCCGATGTCGTGAAAGTCGAGCTGTTGCGGTCGGAGAAGAGGAAGATAAGTCGGATAAGGGTCTCTGCTTCTTACCTTCGCCTCTTGCTGTGCAGATGCTCAAGGCCTACTCCCTTCAGCCAAACCTCGGCTTCCCGGAGTTCTTCGACGGCCTGCGGGGCACGGGGGCTGGACCATTCGATACTAGAATAGGGCAACCCAAAAGACAAAAAGATCCCGAAGGCTGCCGACATGCCAGGCGTATTGCATCTCAACGAGAACGACGCCGGCTCTCGCATTGAGCTTTTCTTCAGCCTGACAGTGGAAGAGGCGCTTAATGCAGCAAGCCCGTGCCAATGCAGCATGTGCCCCCCTTGCCGTCACCAGCAAACGTATTTCACAACTTCCGCGGGGAATCTGCGCGGCAGGTGCCTCGCAGCAATGCTTCAGGGGTTACAGGCGGCTTGAAAATAAGCCAATCTGCAAGAGTAGCTGAAATCGAGACTTCAAGGGGGTGGCAAGGGGCTTGAAGATAAGTCAATTTGCAGGAGCAACTGAAACTCGAGCCCCGCACGTCCACTTCAATGCTTTCTCAAACCTTGAGCCCCCTGGAGTCTGCAGCCCCACACATGGCTTTACCAGTCTCCTTTCACAATGCCGGGGCCCATGCATAGCGTCAGGAAGCGGACAAGGCACCCATGAAGATTGGCGAGTGGAAGGCCTGGGAGACTGGAGCCTGTTCAATTTCGAATCCGATGATGCACAGAACAGCCGCCAACGTTGCTGAAGGTGCCCATAATTATTAAGGCCGGAAATATCGACTGCAGCTCTTTGCACAGCTCGTCTGTACTGCAATTGCCTAGCACAAACGGATCCGCAAGGCTGGTTAAGCGTTGGTGCCAGGTCGCTCGATCTCATGACGCTCTTGCATAGCACCCGGCTACATGTGCAGTCTAGGCTCCATTGGAGTCGTGAACTTGCCCGGTGTTTGCGTGCAAAAGCGTGTTGGGTTGTGCAATCTGCTAAGCGTCCTGTATCGTACTGTATCTTCTTGACCTCAGCTCTTGCTGCGCGGCAAGCTTGTTAATGTCTCTAGCTTGGGTCTGGGCATGTTTTCCAGCTCGTGATCGCAGTCCTTGTCCCGCTTTACAGACTTCACTGTTTCACACTTCACCTGTTTCGATAGACTGCGCTCACTTGCGGCTTCCTGCTGCCCTTTCGACCCCCTCAAAGTGCATGATGTCCGAGAAACCTCGGTGGCATGAAAGGGTGCAGCCTGAAGACCAGGCTGGAATCTGTGCCGAAACTGGCCGGCTCTGCACAAGACTAGCTGATCCAATGACGATCGGGCCCTACACAAGTCTGCAGCTTGGGGAGCCGAGTACGGAATGGCCCTGCCGACCAAGCCAGGCATGTCACTGGCAAGAGTCCACCCGCGGCCGTGAACGCCTGGCCGGACAACACCCCCGCAGTGGCAAGGACCAAGGCCAGATAGGAAGTTTCCTTGGGGCGAGGGGCAGCCCGTTCTGGCCAAGATGTCGGGCTGCAGCCTCAGCAGATGCGAGCGATGCGTACGATGGGTGCTGTGTCCATGCCTGGAGGTCGCAACACCCGTATGGCGCAATGGCTCGACTACAGGCACTGACGGCGCTCACTGACGGTCGCGTCTAGTTTGTGGAAACGGCATCCGTGCGGGGCAGTACGTTCAGAGACATTTCGGACCGGGGTTGCTCGGGTGGGGGGGGGGGCCTATTGACGTCCGGTTTGCGCAGACATGAACATGTGCATTATGCGGATCGCACATCCTGGAGCTTCTTGCTGGCAGATAAAGTTGTTCAGACATGGCTTAGACCCCAGGCTATTAGTACCATGCAGTCATACAGTAGTCTAGCATCTTCTATCAGGGCCCAAAGACAGTCAACAACTTTTGAACTAGCTCAAGTAGCAAGGATTGTTCTAGAAGCTTTACAGCCTTACCATCTGTTCAAGGGCACCGTCAGGTAAGACTCTTCAGAAATGGTTTAGGCCCAACGGTACTAGAAATGTGTCATAATACTATGAAGGATGTTCCTAGAATCTTCAAGGCTTTACCTTCTGTAGAACGGCACCGGGCTCTAAGCAACGCAAACCTGCAACATGACTCTGCCCCCAAGAAAAGGTGTCAAACGCCCCCGTGCTGCGGCCAGAGCACGATTTTGCAGCTTTTCTTTTTCAAGCTATCCGTTGCCAAAAGCACTCTCCGGAAAAAAGGCCTCCGAAAACACAAACTGCTTACAGTGCAAAACACATCCGTGCTGTGCGCGAGAGCATGGTTTTCAAGCAAAAAAGATCTTGAAACTTTCAATTTTCAAGACCCACCCGCCCACTAATAAACGCTCAAAATTCGAACAAACGCCTCGCGAAAATTCATTTTCGCGAAGAGTTTGCGTGAGCTTCTAGTGCTTTCGGCACCTGCGAAAGCGCATGACCCCTTCTAACGCGCGTTTCGCTCGACTTGCGGCCACGCCGCCGTCTTGCACTAACCAGTCTCCAAACGCACGGCCTCGCACGGGCGCCGTCACCTAGTTTGTGCCTAGCCGTGAGGTTGCTAGCGGCCTCTTGTGCCAAGGGGATCCTGGATCACATCCTGCTGTTCCCAAGGATCTGTTGGTGGGAAAGTTGCTGAGGAATGCAAAACAGTTGTCATAAGCGCTTGTCATAGACCGTCATTGCACATCTGTTATACTTGCTTTGCAGGGCTGTCGAACCCTTCCCACGATGCACACTTCTAGCCTCAAGCAACAGGCCCTGCTTTTCAGCAAACCGGGTTGAGACTGGCAACCCACGAGCAGTGAGGGTGTGTGAAGGCCCCAGCCGTCGCAACAGACGGTAGCGCCAGCCGCAGCTAGAAGAGCTACGAGAGAGTCAGAAGAGACAGCGTCAGTGCAGGGTTCGTGTCACCATCTCCGACGCCCGCATGCTGGTCGGCACCTTTATGGCCGGGCAACCGAGCTTGGTGCTTCCAGGCCTCTAAGGCTCACATAGCCGAGCGGCTTCCATGTCCAAGATGATCCCAAGATCAGCAGAGCTAGTCATGAAGCCAAGGCCGGTCTGATCTGAATTTCTGAGCCCACACCACCCAGTGCTGATTTCTGGTTTCTGTAGGTCTCCTGGTTGATGCTTGGGAGCTACATTTCCCACCCTTACCACTGGCACTGATTCGATTCTTCATTGTGCTTTCAATCCTTTACAATGGTGAGCAGCCTGTGCTCTCGCCAGTTTAGAACCTATCGGCATGCTTGCGTTTCCAGGCTTTTGACAAGTACATGAACGTGGTCCTTGCAGACTGCGAAGAATTTCGGAAGATCAAGCCTGACCGACAAGTTTGACTGTTGCCGCATACAGCCGTGCATCGCACTTTGACAGCTGCTGCATACGGCTTCAACCGAGTCTTCAGCTTTGTACAGAGTTTGGAGATGTTCGGTGGACGACAGACACAGCAGGGCTGCATCACGCTGCTTGTGCGGACTCGCGTTAGGCTCAAGGCCCCAAAGCGGATCCGGTCTTCCGTGCCAATGGCTGAGGCGTTGACCTGTTGCCTGGCATGGAGGACAGAGATTTAGAGGACTGGGAGCTGGTCGACAGCACTGAGGCGAGGGCCCAACAGGAGAAGGCCCGGAGCCTTCATCACAAGAAGTGCGAGCAGGAGCATCGTCAGGCCGCAGAGGCGCACCGAGCCCTCATCAATGCACAGCAGGCGGCAGAGCTGGGCAAGCTAAGAGCCAATGAAACGTGCATCGACGATGTTCATCGGGTCTGTTGCATCCCAGGCACTGCCACAAGTATTGTCGGAATTCTTCTGGAGACACCTCTTGTTATTCGCACCAAGACAGAACACCGCTTCGGAGACGGGCAGAATATTATCATTACTGGTCTCTCTTTGAAGGCTGGTGCCCCACATTCTGCTGCTTCTTTCCTGTGTGAGCTCAGCCGAGACCACGACCCCTGTCTGCAGAGTTTTAACAAACTTCTTGACCAATAGTGTAGGTTCACGCAGTGTTCTATACCGGTCTGGCAGGTCGCACGCTACGTTGATGAGTGCAGACTGTCGCTACCAGGAACTGCTAAATGCCCGTGTGAACCAGAGGAAGTCGAGCAATTTATCTGCCTTGACAATGCAGAGGTCAAGTTGTCCATCTCTTCATGGGGTATGGGGCGCACGCCAATCACCCACAGCGCTTTGCAGGCCATTGCGCAAACCGCAAAGGCTTCGGGACTGGGCTGTGCAATTGAAACTGCTCTGGCGACCGTGCGAACTGCCTGTGGCGGTCTCCAGCACTGTGCAGAGGCGTTGGCGGGACACCTCGAGCACAGGCAGCGGCTGACAGATGGCTCAGATGCTCTGATACAGATGTCCTCGGCCCTCAAGAATGTCAGTGGAGCCCGGGTTCCTATACTCGAGGTGAGCGCAAAACACCAGTGGGACATTCTTCGCGAAGCTGTGCAGCCCGATCACTGGATTTCGTCTCGAACGTGCCATGAATGCATGGAGTGCTTCAAGCCGCTTCGGAGCCTTCGTGTGGAGAGAGAATCCCGAGAGGATTCGGACGGTGCAGATGGAACAGACTGGAGCTCAGCTCACCATTGCCGGCATTGTGGCCGCGTGGTCTGCCACAACTGCGCGGTGGTCCGTGAGTGTGTCCCCTGGCGTGGGGAGTTCCAGCCCGTGCTTGTGTGCAAGCCCTGCAAACCCGTGGTGCTCTTGAGACTCTCGGCTGCTATACCTGGGAAACTGTGGGAAGACAGGGCAACATGCCGCATGTAGCATCAAGATGCATCAAGCAACCGAAGTGCATGACTAACCGCGGCTTGGAGAAGCTGGCAGGCAAGCTGCCCTTGTATCAGCAAGGTCAGGACCTGACACTGCCGTCTAAGGAAACCTTTGCCTCCAACACCTGCAGAGCTTCAATGCTCAGATCGAGCTGGTGGCCGCGGGCCTCAGCCCACCTGTGGAGCCGACGAAAGGTCGGGGGAAAGGACCCCCCCCCATCCCACCCCCGCCACCCAAGGGCAAGGGTCGAGGGACTGTCCAGATCAAGACTGGAGACGCACCGCGCGGCCGCGGCTTGGGAGCTCTGGGCGAGGACATCAAGGATCAACTCAGTCCGGGATTGCAAAAGGCTATAACTGTCCTGTGGAAACTTGCACCTCCGCCAGTCAAGATACGGCAGCTTCACTTCAAAGCTGAGAATTGATTTCTCCCTGAGGTGAGCTGGCAGACTTCGTGGTGGTTCCTGCCGGTGTCTCTGCTAGGCCCAGGGCAGCCATCAGCAAACCCAAGGAGGCCAGGTTGCCGAATCCAGCTGCTGCACTCGGAATGTCCTGCTTCGAGCACTTCGGGCTTTGCCTTCTATCTTGTCTATCTCACTCAAACGCACTGCCCAATCAATGGAAACCCAGACTTTTCTTGTAGCCAGTTCTTACACCAGACTGTTGGACGGTCGGAAGCTACTCGTAGTAGTCTTTCTCGAGAAATGATGGTCACTTCCACGGCTATCTGATGACAGATAGAGTAATGTGCACGTACAACATCGTATTGTTCGGTCGACGGAGTGATGCAGCGAGTTGACCTTTGGGCACTACGTTTGGGGTGATATTTCTTTCGCTGGGATTCGTAGAAGCGTGAGGTCTACTCGTCGAGGGCCAGTCGACATAAGGTGGAATGTCACTTGGTGTAGAGGTTATCATCTTGACCAAGCACGAGAGCCTGAAGTGGCATGTGGCAAGCCACTGATCTCAAGATTCGCAACAGCCACGGATTTGGTGTCATGAAAGGGTACAGGGTGAATATATCGAACTTGGGATTGGGACGCGGATGAATATTGACAAGCAATAAACAGGGCAGGCAGAGGGGTTTGCTCGTAGAGCATGTTTGCAAGGGAAAGCCTCTGCATTCGTGACTTTTCGCAGTTTGTTCAGACACGTCGTGGTGCAGCATTGGCAATGGCTGTCTCCGTGGCCCTCTGCAAAGCAAACTGAAGATATGCATCACCTGTCTGCAAGTGCTACAAATAACCGGACAATGAGCAATCGCAAAGGTCGTGCGACTCCTACTAATGCTGCTTCCAGCCAAGGCAAAGGCTACCGTCCGCATCTTGCAGAGATTCTGCGGTGCCTGGGAAGTCTAGAACTCCAGGAGTGCTGCTTTCGTGCTTTGTTGCGCTGCTAGACTGAGACTGCAGCTGAGTTGTCTTCAGTGTTTCGAGGCTTGTGGGCTTGAGGCAACTCGTAGGCTGAATCTTTCGAAAGCCCTGAAGGCCAGGGAGAAGTTTTGCTGGAGGCAACAAGATTTCAGCATGCTTGTGAAAAGTTTGCAAGACATGACTTGAGGCATGATTGCCTACAGTAGAAGCTTCTTCGACGGATGCGCAAGACGCAAATCTGACCTGAAAGGAAGCTCCAAAACCTTCGCTAGGATGGCTCCAGCGACGTCTGGTTTGATGCCCTCGAGCAGATCCTGCCCCTCGAAGAGAAGCTCTCGGAGGAAAGCCTCCAAAAGCTCCAGGCCGGCTGTCCCGCCACGCTGCGAGAGCCCATCGTGGCTTAGGGAACGGAGCCAGTTGAGGGGTGCTTCTCCAGAGCATGACCATGAGCGGGAGGCTGTGAAGCCTCAAGACGGGGAGAAGCTACGGGAGTACGAACAGCACATACGTGTCGTGTCTGAGCCCATGGCCCGCTCGCCTGTGACGAAGCTCGTGGCATCTCGTGGCTGAGTGGAGGCATCTGCAGCTGAGGCTTACTTCTCGCCGTGCCAGAGCTGCCAATGCGTTGGCGTACTCTGCGACTTCTGCGTGACCTGCGAAGCGAACAGGCTCGCCTGACTCCGCACCCTTGATCATGTCGCGTGCCGAGCCCGGCTAGTTCGTTGCCAGATGTAACGATGAGGGCTTTTCGTGGAAGCGGCGTTAAAGGCTTAAAAAGCACAATGAGAGTTCTCGGCCCTCAGGAAGGCTTTATCTCCAAGTGTGCTGCCATTCAAGCAGCCTGTGCTGCCCCACTCGTCTGCAATACAGACGGCATGTGGGTTCTCCGGAGCGAGGCTCCTTGGACGTTGATGCCAGCTGCAAGACGCTGTGGATCTTGGTTACGCGCATCCAAGGTCAAGAACGTCATCGCCGCGCATCCCACCAGCAACACATCTTCAAGTAGCACTGCTGGCCGTGTAGTTTAATGGACCAGGCGTCTGCGACTCTCAGTCGAAGAATTTCTGAATATACCGTGCCGTATAGTGACATGCCGTCCGGCTCCGTACGAACGAGCAGAGCATTGAACAACTCCACGACCTTGTTCCCGTCGTTGAAGCAGGCTGCACCACGGCATCCAGCCGAGCTGTGAACGGTTGCAGGAGCCGATCCTGCCGGAAACCCCAGCAAAGTCCAAAGCCGAAGTCAAGCATTCCGCCAGGAGCTCGTCTCGCGGACCCAGGCCAGTGCGGGAAACATTTTTATGCATTTTGCTCGGTTGACTAGAGACTAGGCCAGAGGTTGATTTGACCCTGACTATTGCGTTTCTTGCTGGAAGAACGGCGTCGGATCGCTACTGATGCTCTAACTCACTGAAGTACCACTGACCAATTCAGGCATAGATGGTCTCAGAGCGGACAGACTGGATGAAAAGTGCGCTTTCTCGACCATCAGACCAAGCACTGCCTAAGCAATTGATGCAATGAGCACCGCAAGGTTGGCAGTGGCAAGCTGTTGCTGAAAAAGTTGTGGCAAGCAGGCAGGGCTTGGGATAGTTGCGCCTCCCACTGCAACACACCTGCTTGTCATTGTTCAGGGTGAAGCATGCGCAGACGTTGAAACATGCAATATCTCTCCGCGCGCTGCCAGGAGAGAAGCATCAGTACAAGGACTTTGACACAAGAGGGTTTGTGCACATCTTGGCGCCTGTGCTTCTGGAGGGAGACGCAGCATGCGCGATGCAAGAGCTGATCCAGCGCTTCTTAGATCTGCGCAAACGCCATGGCGAGCTCTTGTCCAGCTGCCCGACGGAAGAACTGGCACATCCGCAGAACTTGCGGGAGGCCTTGGATAGCATGATGCTGACTTTCCGAGAGCTCGAAGCACAGATGATCCGGTGCTTGGAGCTTGGTGGTCGATGTCTAGTCGCATTGGGGCAGTGGTGCGAAGCCAAGCCCATGAAGAGCTTGGCTGAGTCCGCGGTCCTTGCCCGGGCCATGGATCAGAACCTGCAGAGCCTGAAGAATCTGACACGCGGCTTGCAGGATGCTCAACCTGACGATGTCAAGCAGACACCAGCCGCCAAAGCTCGCAGCAGATCGAGTCTGAGTACATGCAAGCTGCCCAAAGCCTTCAAGCGAAAAACTGCACCAGCCTCGAAGGGGACGCGCCCAACCAAACCATCTTCGGACGAGGAACCGACACAGAGGGCGACGGGTGTGCAATTCCATGATGCCCAGGACCAGGACACATCAAGATCCCACGTGACATAATGGCAGTTGTGATGACGATATGTAGTGGTGATTTAGTGCCAGAATGGCATTGCTGCCAGGAGCGTTTCGGATCCAGCTCGGAGGAGACTTGCGACAGTGACAAGGCACCCCGGCTGCGACACAAATGCATGAAGCCTCATGGCTTAGCGATTTAGTCTCCGTAGAATGTCATGGCTTGTGCAGGGATGTCTGCCTTGCGACAGCATCTTGTGATGCCGATTCAAGGAACGGCCTCGACGTCGGCGAGATCGTGACTTTCAGACTGAGCGAAGCTGAAAGCACTCGGGCTTGTATAGAACTAGTGCCCGTGCGCAGACTCCTCGACCTAGATGTCAGGGCTGGTAGGGTCCATTAGTGGGCATGGTGACTTCTCGGATGCACAGGCGACGAGGTCACAGAAAAGAACCTGTGCATGCTGTGTGTTTTAACTTTTTCGACAACGAAGAAGCATGATCCTCCATTCTGGCCAGGTCCAAGGGCAGAAAGGACGACGAGAAGGAAGTGAAGCGCACACTTGGCACCACGGCTGCCTGTGGCTGCGGCTCTAGACAGACTTCTTGCCTTTGCGATTGGCCGCTTGAGAGAACCTAAACTGCGAATGTGGAAGATCGCAGTTTGCTTATATTTAGACGTGACCGGTCATCCCTGTCAGCAACACCCTGACTCAGGTTTTGTAGTTCTTCGAGGCTGGAAGGGGTGGTCTTACATGTCAGATGTTGAGTCGGCCCATAGTCGCCATGTGTCTTTGTAGTTTCGTGAGATGTGGTGAAGCGAGGGCCGGTGCTGGCAAAGTGGACGAGATGTTTCGACATGTTTTCTACACACTCTGATTCCACGGCTTTGCGGATTTCGGGCTTGACGAGGTGAGACAATTGTGTCGCTGATGGCAGAGGCATCTTCTCGCCAGTGGGCATTTTAGACACTCGGCCATTGCCTGTGATGCTATGCGGCTATGCTGATAGTGGGGCATAAAGTAGTCGCTGACAGAGGCGCACCCTGGGCAACATCTCTTTGCTAGGGGATTCGGCGAAGCTACGAGGAACGGACAGCTTTAGAAGATGATGCTAATTAAGTTATTTTGCAGCGACAGAGTGACAGAATCACAGATTCTCCATGTGCGCACGAGGCACCTCCATCGTTTCCCAAGTCTTTGGCTGCAGGCACCACCTCCTTCGGGCCCCAAGAAGCCGGACATCCAGCCAGGACCTGGCCGTGGGCAGGCTCCGGCCCGGGGCGAAGCCGCACTGAAAAGCCTCCGAGTCCTGTTCCGAAGAGACTAAGCTCGTGGTTGTGACCCTGCCTCCAAGAAGAGTCGTGCAGTGGCAGGTAGCCGGGCGCGGAATGCCGGCTGCGCCCAAGCCTGAGAGCAGGCTCCAGGAGAGTTCCCGAAGCCAATGGACATGAAACAAGCGAGACAGGCTTACGTATAGTCCTGTGACTAGTGAAACAGTAGAAGATAGGACAAGAAGGACCTTGCTGAACCTTTCTGCCTCTCTCTTGCCTTGCGATGGGAGTGGATAGAGGACAGCAGAGGAGAAAGGGATGCGTAAAGACGTCACGTCCATCCAGAAGTTCTCGTGCATCGCGACTGGATCGGGGGTAAAGATGTGTTCCATCCACAGGAGCGGTTCTGAAGTCTTCCAGTCTTGTGATTGCATGCAGAACGGAGGCACTACGCTGCCAGCGATATGAGTTTGTACCGCGATAACTTACCATGCAACGGGACATGATACCTGCTGCACACCCACTTTACCACCTTGCGATTGCACGAAAGGCTTGCAGACTCTTTCCCAACACACCATGAGATTTTGGGACGGTCCTGCTGGAAAGCGCCCCCAACCGTGCTAGACCCGGAGGCCCAGGCCCGATACCCTAGCCACCCCATTTCTCCAAAGTCCCCAAAGGTTTCTGGGTTGGGGGCTTGTTCCAGGGCTAGGCTCCGGGGGCCGGAATACTTCAGACTCGAAAGGGGGCGGGGGGCAATAAGCATGGGAAGTGATATGTAATATGCCAAGCAATGAAGAAGGGACGCCATACCAGACAGAGGCAGCGAGGTCATAAGTCGAACATCGGTCCTTGTTCGAGGAAGCAGGACGAAGACCTCCCGTGAAACATCGATGCTGGCGGTGTTTTCGCCCTTCGATCCATGTCTTCGAGAGTCAGCGAACAGTTAGCGTAGCGAGCCCTTTTGTCCATCTCCGTAGGAATGAAGGTGGAATTCCAGATCATACTCATCGGTTTCACCTGTCTGTTTCAGAGTCCCGCCCCTTGCAAGCAGTTTTGGACTCAAAACCCTGAAACCGAGGCCGCTCAGCTCAGCTCCAGCTGGCCTTGCGGGACCAGTTCGTGGCGTGGGTGGCCGCCCGGTCGCGCTTCGATGGGCAAATGGGCGGCTCCTTTAAGAACCGACTTTGTGGGGACCAGCACACTCTTTTTCTAAAGGACCTGCGGCGATCCAGATGCAGCCGAAAGCCGGAGCAGCTTTGCCAGCTCCCGGTGGAGCCCCGCTGGAAGCTTGGGGGCTGCGAAATGTTTCAAAGGGGCAGGAGGGTGCTTTCTTGAAAGGGCCACTGGCTGGATGGACTTGCCGTGGTAGTGCTGGGTGTCTTTGTGCTCAAGCGTGCCTCCGATTACGACCGGTTTAGTAAACCAGAGTCGTGTGACGTGTGTACTCGGCACAGGCAGGCCGTGGACTGCCCGTCATTGTCAGCACATCTTAGCTTAGTCGTTCTCCAACATCATAATGTGAAAGCAGTTGTTGCGTCTCCCAGATCGTCAGAGAACAAGAGATGAACAGAGTTCAAGCCGTTTCGTATGGTTTGCTTGCTTTGTAACTGTCCTCTTTATGGGCTTCCCAGGTTCAACCTTGAGCGGCATGTAGAGCGCTTAGAGCAGAGAGAGCGACTCTCAGGCCGGGAATGCCTCCAGGCTTCCCAGCCAGGCCCGTGCAGTCAACCCAGAGTCGCACATGGACTTTCTTTTTTTTGCGTCGCGAGCCATCTGCGGCCTGCATAGTCTTAGAGTTGAAATCCATTCCTTCAGGCCGCCTGGAATGCCGCGAGGAGCCCCAGAGGGCTCGTGGACATGTTCCGGGGCTACCCTTCGCTATGCTTCGGGTCTTCAGACTCGGGCCGGGCTCTTTAGTCAAAGCTGCTTCTGCGTCCTCGGGTTTTTTGAGGCAGATTCCAGTCCCAATCATGCTTCTCTTTCTTCCATACTCGTGGCAGCAGAGTTGCTCTCGGAGCTTGCTGCCAGTCAGACTACATGAATACAGAAACAATTCGAGTCTGGCACCGAGGGGAATGGTCCCGCCGGGAATGCCGGGCATGCCTCCCGGTATGCCGCCTCCTGGTATGCCAGGCACATGCTGGCATGTTTGCCTGTGACGGCCGTCAATGTTGGCTGCACTCATTCGCATCACGCATCGTGTAGCCTTGCCAGGCATGGGTCGCGGCATGCCACCCATGGGCCGGGGAGCGTGAAGCTTCGGCTCATGAAGCAGAAGCGGCTGTCAATGAGTGTGATGAAGACTCTAAGAGCATGTCAGGCCTGGAACGTCTTGACCAGATCAAGCCACTGCTGCTCCCGCTTTGCTAGGTGGCTGGTTGCAGTGATCGTTTGGCTTTGTCGCAGGCTACCTGCATAGTGCGCGCCAACCTTCAACATATTCCTTTTCGTAACGCGTTCGGAGCAGCAGTGCGTACGGTAGAAGAAGAGATGCGACGGCGATGTGCCAAAAATACCAGTGAGCACTGCCCAGAAAGTCAACCGAGGGCACACGTGAGTGAATATGTATGTACGTATGTATGCATGTATGTATTCATGTATGTATGTATGTATTTATGTATGTATGTATGTACGTACTTGTACGTATGTATGCATGTATGTATGTATGTATGTATGTATGTATGTGTGTGCCCGTGCCACAGCGTACGAAGACGGTCGGCCATTGTGCCGAAACAGCGTCAGCCTGTCACATGCGGGAAACCATGCCACAGAGTGGTGTGTTTTCTGTAGCTTCGGGCTGGGCGGGCATGTTCACAACCACATCCCCGGTGCTGTTTGAACGCTTGGCTAGTGGGGTTCGCTTGTAGTGTATCTACGTCGTTGCTAGACTAGTAATCTTCAGTCGAGCAAGAATCTTACTCGCTGTGTGATCCTCACCAGAAATGCTACTTGTTCGAGTGTTTCGCAAGATGCGTTGACACTGTGCCACTCTGCATGCAGAAGCTCGCTGGCCCCTGGTTCAAGGGTTCAAGGGGACGCCCTCCTTCGGCTCTTTGGGGTCTAGAAGACAGCGGCCCTTGAGTGTGGGCGAGTAGAGGAGCTGGCCCCAAGACATAGACAGTGGTGCCAGTAGCCAGCTACTCGTAATTAGCATCTGCAGCATTCATGCAGCCAGATGACAGGATGTGGACTGTAGATGTTCGAAGAGATCTTGTCTCAGGAACCCCCAGGCCCTCATTTTACGGAAGCGGGATCAGCAACACATGACCACGTCAGCAGATGTCAACAACCAAGAGGTCCAGATCTTCTTGTGCCGCGGGGGCAGTGCCCTGTAGTTTCGATCAGCATGGACTTGAGGCACGGTAACACAGCGTCGTGTCGGGCTACAAGGAATTGCGGCTTCACACGGGTAGGTGGGACTTCCTTTATGCAGAGATGAATTCAATTTGGCAAGTCCAGTCTGTCACTGGAATCGGCTCATGTCTGTGAGAATTCTCCTGGGCCCGTGAATAGTCTCAGGGAAACACAGAGCATGACGAGACTTCGAATGACTGACCAGAATAATGTTCCTGTGGCAGGCCACCGCCTCCACCTATGGGAATGAGCTTAGCCGCGACCACAGCATTGCTTCGTGGGGTTGCATGGAGTATTACTCATTCTGGTTGCAAAATAATTTTCTTGGGCACCTTGTTGCGCAGTGATGCATACTTCGCCGTATCTGCAAGGTCTTTGAGGGCAAGAGCTACAAATAGCTGATTGCATCGAAACGCAACCCATCTCCACGCTCAACTTCGCTCAATTTCGCCATACAAGGTTCGGAAACTACCATTCCCCTCTTTGCCACTCGTGCAGCACCTCTCCACTTAAGGATGAACATAACTAAGCTCCATCTCACTTTGGCCTGTGTAGGCCCAGCAAGCGCAGCAGCTCCAGAGCGCCAAGTTCATGCCGGCCCCGAAGCTGCGCCTCGGCTGTTTGGGACACTGACTCTGTCATGTCGAGTACCAGATGTCACTGGATTTCAAGAAAGCTATAGTGCCTGACCACCATAACGATGTGAAGCGAGACATAGGACACGTCAATATAGTCTTATAGAGGTTCGGCAGGAGCTACCTACGAAGCACCGAAAAATTGTTGTTTTGGCGGCTGCATGGTGAAATGCACACCGCGAAGTGTGAAATGTGCATGCACAAGGTTTTCCCGGGGAATAGAACACGGCTGCGATTCAAATGAGAGTCATTGCGAATTCGTATCGAAGACGAAGACATAACATGAGCTTGAAATTTGCGTCGATGAAACTTGGAGGTATACCGTTCTCGATGCATAGAGGTAGGATGACGTGTGCACAGCAGAGGTGGGCAAAGCAGGCACAGGCCAGCATGCACAAGGCCGAATCGATGAAATCCCTTCCCTAACAGTGATCAAAGTATTAAATGCAGCAGTATTGAGGTGGTCGTTTCAGTCATCGTGTGGGTCTTTCTTTTCGTCAACTACGTAATGACAACTTATTCTTGGACTGTCTGCTGCCATTTGCTTCTCCGTGAAAGTTCGTGTGTCAAACTTTGCCTGCCTCTGAGGCCTATTAACATGGGTGGTGAAGCACTCAGACACTGCACCATGCGCGCATTGGGTTTTGCTTTTGGCTTCTGATTCAGATGTACTTCAGGACTAAGCTCGTGTCTGCACGGTCCGCACTCGTAAATTCAATTGCACAGGTTAAAGAGTTGCCTCGCCAGGGATAAATCTACATGTATAGGTATAGTCGTACAGTAGTTCGCTCTGTCGTGCCCTCTGTGTCAGATTTTCTGCATTTTATCCGCTTCAGTTGATACATCTACCTGTTGCTCTGCACGCAGAGAGGGTCGATGGTACCTGCAAGGAGGCTTTGAGCGGCCCATCAGAGACGAGGAGTTAACTCGACATGTCATCTTAGCGGGCTCCTCCAGAAACGTCGCGTGCAGCTGTCCATGAGTCACCCAGTGGTACCTGAACCAAGAACTTCACGGCTGTGGCTGAGGGCTGCAGTTAAACCACGGCAACCCAACGATAAATACGTAGAACTAATCCGTCTTGCTGGCTTCTTCGCTGGCACGGCATGTGAAGGCTCGCCGCAAATGGGAGGCATGGGGCAGCAGCAGCCTTGGCAGGGCGGAATGCCAGGCAGGGACATCGCGGAGTGTAATACTGCGCTGCGAAGGTCAAGGCAGAAAAGGCATCCGGCTGTCGCGAGCACTGTCGGGCATGGGAACGGGCACATTCAGAACAGCGGCTGTTTACCCAGCATTGTGCAGCTGCATGCCGGAACCCTACTTGTAACAGCTTCTTGACGCCGCTGAATCAAACACATTGTACACATTCCATCAAAATGGGGGGGAGCCGCTGCGGATCAGTCTTCGCCTGTATCATGTCCATCGCTGGCAAGTAACAACTGCAAACCAGGTTCTCTCTAATATAGCTCACATCTTAATCTTCGCAGAGCCTTCATGTGTGAAATTCGATCTAGACTGCCAGGTGGACTCGGTGTCGGAGGAATGCAAACGCAGCCAATGTTCAGATCTCGGCTAGAATCGGGCCAAGGCTTCTGAGTTTCGGTAGTTATCGCGCTTCTTGAAAGCATGTCTTGTGATTCTTGAGATGAGATTCGCTGCTCTTTGATCTGAGCTCATAGAGCGAGATCTTGCGTCATCTCCAGACACCTACTGTGAGCGTCCGTGATGCCACTAGCCACGTGATCACTGTTCGCCTGAATCTACAACTTGCGATCCATTGCCGAACGATGTGCCGACAGTCTGTTTGACATTCCGCCGCCAAGCACAACCACCAGGTCCAACGGTTTGCAGCAATCCAACATGGGAATGAAAGGCCAGTGCCTCGGCGATTCCGCTGCAGTGTAGTGCAGTGTCACGGAGCCATACTACTGTATTTGACTGAACTGCTCGAAAATCGTATTTTCAGTCATGGTGCTAGCACAATCTTCCTGAAGCCCGGAGCCCGCCATCTGTAAAACCTGCGACCTTTCGGGAGGTGGAATGCGGCCGAACTGGGGCAGTATGCCACCGCCACTTGGCAGCACAGCGTCTCGACGCCTGGTCAGCAGTCTGGACGTACTATCACCGCCCCTCAGCTTCCGAAAGAAAAACTTCATGTGGTTCATGCGACATTGTGCTGAGCTTTGCCGAAGAATACACCAAGTCTAAGCAAGATACAGGAGCCACCAAAATTAGGGCCATCACTTTATAAGATCGTGTTGCTTTCTATAGCAACATCTAAGATGCTTGTCAGGGCTTTCAGGGTTCCTAGACCGGTTTTGCTTTTTCATTCGTGGGTGACTTGGTTCCGTGGCATGTGCTGCCGTGCAGTCGCTTGGATGGCATCGGCCGCAGTTGAGGCCCCAAACCCCCAGACCCCAGACCCCACCCTAGATCTCAAACCCCACCCCACACACCAAACCCCATGCCCCAAACCCCCAGATCCCAGTCCCCCAAACCAGCCACTCCCTCTCTCTCCTGTCTCACGCCTGCCATTTCCCGAAAAGGAGCCACTTACGCACGAGCCACTCCCGTCCAGCTCCCTCCTCCCAAAAGCACCTACTTACGAGCCACTTGCGGGCCTCTTACTGTCCACGGCCGGCCACGGCACCTCTCCACACACTCTTTGTTTGTGGACTCTGCTCGCATGCTGCACAGAGCCGCCAATGACATCAAATTTCACCATCGTGCGACGTCGAAAGGTGCTTCAAGAATGCGCTAGAAGACAGCCGCCGCATCAAGTCGCTCGTTACTTTACTGCTTCATCAGCGAATGCATGGGCGCACCCGTTCTGTTTCCAGCCTCACTAATACCTTCAGCTGAGGTAGGCCCCGTCCTTCATTACATGCTTCTTGTTTGCTTTTCCCGAAGCTTGTTCTTACATGCCACACCGATCCCACTCCTAAGACACTCCTGAACGCGACCCAAGTCGCTCACAAGACAATGGCACAAACTTTGCTGGCACCTCAATCCTTGACCAAGGCAGCAGCAGTTTGGTCCGGGCATGCAGCAGAACTTTTCTCAGCTCGGGCCTTACATCAGGGCTGGAGTCTCTCCGAGAGGCCTCTCTCATTCTGCCCTGAGGCCGCAGATGTTCCCACCGCAGCAGTCACTCGACTGCACCTTGCTTGCTCCAGCCACAGGGTCGTGCGCTGCAGCCTCCATCCATGTTGATTTTCTGGAGCTTCGGGGGTTTAAGGCAACCTCCGCCACTAATGCAGCCCAAGCAGAGTGTTTATGTCACAGTTTGCAACAGAGCTACTAGAAGCTTTGGCAATCCAGACTGACTCCAAGGCCAGTTGGCATGAGAGGCCCCTCAGCGGGCTCGCCAGGTGGACTGCAGCGACAGAGCTGCGGCTGAAGATAGATGGGGCTCCGGTATCGATGTCACACCGGCTAAGGGGCAGGGTTTGGCTGCAATGACTGCAGCCGCATACCGCAATGCGTGCAGCGTATCGGTCGTGCATCGAAGGAACAGCTACGGAAATCAGGGCGGACAAGGTGGGCTCAGCAGAGGCAATTAGCGGTCGAAATCGGACCAAGACGTTGAGTTGGCCTCATCCTGTTAGTTAGGAGGATTTTGCTTCGAGAGCCTGGACCGTAGCTAACTTGGAGATGGCTGTGACAGGTGTGGGCCCGGGCAGTGGTCTTTCGAGCCCAGGCAAGGGACCGAGGAAGTCTGCTAGGCTTCCAAGTTCCGAGCCGAATGATTTACACGTTCTGATGTTCGTTGGCAGAACAGGATAAGCCCCAGTTGCCGAATCTGGACTAGCTCCATTGGTCCATGCTGCATGCATCGCAGGTATCAGTCAGCCGCAGGCCTGCCAGCAGTCCAACGTCAAACCTGGGTTTGTTCGCCGTGTTGCCCTTTTTGCTGTTTTTTGAGAGGGGGAACAAAGGGCAAGTTTCAAGGTCCGGCACTCGGCCAGGACAGCGGTGATTCTACTAAGACTTTTGATGCTTAGCCGCTCGTTGTTGTCGCTCTTTGCATGCTTCACTCGTTTTGGGGTGCGACGGGCCGCAAGGAGCTGAAGAGAGTTAGGCATCGTGTCTGCATTCGACTTGTCTCTGAATCTAGCAGTGCTAGCAGTCCGACACTAAAGAGAAGGGCTCTACTTAAAGCTCGTGGGACCCGACTGAGAGCTGAATGGCAGGTTGTTCCGCCTCCCCCTGCTGGTGGACCTCCACCTGGTATGCAGTATGGACAATTTGGCCTGCCCAGTTCAGCCCCAAGCAAGTGTGCAGTGGTCGCAGATGGTCACAGATGCGGGGTGTCGACGTTGCAAGCTAAGTACCAGCCGAGGGCTGCACGGTGAGCATTGGAGGGTCAAGCGACGATCGTTTGGCTAAGGTCAGCAACGGTCGCTCACTCCTCAGAGTGATGCTTGACGCCCCCAGAGTCTCGCTTGTGCAGTGCACTTGCAATGGTTTTGTACATGTTACATGCTGCAATTCGCTTATGTGCATGCAAGCTCCGTGCCCTCACCGTCAGCAGTCTATCCGGTCCTCCTCCACTCTTGGCAAGATCCAGCACCTGCCCTCCCCCTGCCTCCCCCTCTGCAGGCGAGCGGGAGCACCCCCTCCACCACCGCCTCATCCGAACTGGAAGCCTGGTCAACCTCCACCGCCTCCTGGCCTGGGCCTTGGCTCTAAGACTCCTGTCCCAGTCATCGAAGATAGAAAACCGCAGGCTGCAGAGACAGCGTCGTTCACAGATGACTGGCTGACACGGGAAATCCATGTGGCGTGTCACGAAGCAGCCGTTCAAAACAGCATAGTTTCCTCTTCAATTCTCTCTGTCATCCTGCTCACGAGAGGCCCCGGTCCACCAGAGCGAAAACCCGGAGGTACGCTCGAGGCGCACTGCTGAGTCAACTTGCCCAGTGCCACAATACCTGCAGTTCGTGATAACGGTGGCCTCACGATCAGGCGGCCATGGCCGCAGCGGCAGCACTCGGTGCGGTCGGGGCCTGGGCAGGTTGGCGAAGTAGGAGCAAGACGAATGCGTATTGAGGCGGAAATTTCCGCAACGAGCGTTCTGTTGCTTCGAGATGGATTTGAATTTGGAGTGGGAGTTTGTTGAGACGAAAAAGCCAAAAGGACGCGAAACGCGCACTTTTTTGAGCGTTTCTCTCGCGTGTTTCTGCAAACAAAACTGCAGGGGCCTTTTCTGCTCTCTGCTCCGTTTGCAGCGCAGCGCAGCGCATCTGCGCCGGCCGAGGCTGCACCTGGCATGATGGAGGCCCTTTTGGCCAGAAGCCACATGCGTCGCGTTTTTATGTCCGGAGAGGTTTGTGGGCAAGTTGAGGAAAGGGGCAGTGTTGATTGCTGACTATGATGTTCTGCTGTCGAGGCGACTTCTGCAATTGACTTCACTGCCAAGTTGGAGGAGCATTGGCTGCTTCGCTCACAGCAATTCCCCGCATTGCAACAATGTGGCTGAAACTCGCGAGGACTTGAGAAGAAAACATCCGCAGGCTTGGATTGGATGTTCACACGTGCAGATCTGCATGAAGTGGGTAGGTGAACTGGATTTGAACCGTAGACAGACTGAGGGACTCGCGATAAGTGTCCGGTAGACTCGCGATAAGTGTCCGGTAGTGAACTCAAAAGCTCATTGAATCAAACGCGGTCCTCAGTGGCATATCGAAAGGTAAAGGTGCCATCGGATGCCGGGTGCCGAGAGACAGGAGTATGGCAAGTCTCCTCCCAATGCCACGACCGTCCGAGCTCAACTTGCTCAGGCATTTACCTGGAAGCCGGAAGAGTTAGAGGCCTGGTTTGCAAGCGGCGGTACCTCCAAGGCTCGCCCGCAAATGCCCATGGTCCAGACAGCTGCGTCGAACATCTCTGATATCGCTGAAACGGGTCTTATGTCTCTATGCGAGTCGTCGATGCATGATGTCGCATGAAGCCTGGACGAGAGCCCGACATGATGATCCACTTGCACACTGCGCCTTTACCCCTTCTGCGATTGGCAGACTGCACCGGCACCAGCGCCCGCGGCCCCGGCGCCACCTGCAGAAGCACAGACGCCGAAAAAGCGTTCGCATAGTAAGGCCGGGTGGGATCGGGTGGGATGTACTCTTTACTTATGAAGCCTCTCTCTGTGGACCATCCATGAAGCCTTGGTCCTGGCCCTGCACTCGCTTTGCAGGCCTTTGGCTACGAGGTTGAGGAGGCACTTCAGTTACAGCCAGGTCCCAAGACACGACAGGACCGCAGCTAGGAATCAGCAGGCGAAAGCTTGGCAATCGAGAGCGGTCAACATCAGGCAGCAGCTGCTCACCGGTTTTTCGGACCCCGAGTTCCAGGCACCACATGGCTGCGTGGCTATTGCTCATTCACTTGAGAAGTGTTCAGAGTTGCACTCCTTTGGGGTGAGATGTCCGGCCTAGAAGGTGTGATGCAAGGAAGGAGTGCACGGAGTTCAAGTTTGAAGGAAGGCCCTTCGTCCAGCCTTGCTAGCACGAGGAGAACCTGAAGAAGCTGCAAGCCCAGTACCCGGAGCGCAAGACCAAGGGCCACTACGACAGCATGTCCTATTTCGAGGCGGGGTCTGGAGGGAAGGGGACTTTCTGGCCGCTCCCCTGCAGGGAAAAGCCGTCTGGCCCCAGTGGCCCCAGCCCCAGCCTGGGCCCACGGCAGCGGTAAGAAAAAGGCTAAAGGGATCTGAAGGGGAGGCGGGGAGGGGATGAAAGGCACAGCATCTGTTTTCAGTGTCCCGCTTCCCAGGCCACCGGCCTTGGCCCACAGGGTCTCACGGTCAGATGGCTCACGGTGCTCAGTGTGACGGCAGTCCTACAGGACACACTGCTGTGTCGTTGGGTCTCTGTGTGCACTCTTCCACGTCGAGAATTCTAGCCTCCGTCCTTCTCTGAGAATGGTAGCAGCAACTCTCCTCTGAGTTAATTGTAGTGCGTTGCGAGACGTGTGGCACAGTTTCTGGCTCTGTCCAGCTGCACTCCTTCAGGGAGCGTGCCTCCAGTAGAGCTTCAAGCTTGCGCCTGTGCAAGCTGGGCGCCAACTTTTTGAGGTTGCCATTGGGCAGCCGAGCTCTTCCAGCTCCTCCTCTTGCGGCAGGAAGGTACAGAAAGATTGGAACTTCCCCAGTGAAACCGTGAAACCCCTTTCACTGATCAACAGATGGAAGTAGCACCTTCAGCCTGGCCGCTCTAGCCGAGCCTGTACGTAGCCCCATTCAACCGCACTCCCTCCGGAGTTCTAGCACTGCCAGTGCGGCTCAGGCGATGTGGAGATCGGATATGCCGGAGGAAGTGTCTAGACGTAACGCTGTTCGGCAAGTTGCGTGTCGTGGTAAGCTGCCGTTTCATGCAGTCTAGTCTTGGAAGGTTCCTGGCTTCGCTTGAAGCGTTTGTAGCCCAAGCCCATGGAAAGATTGCGCTTGCATAAAGCGGGCTTGGAGAGCATCTGCAAAGCCGGCCCTTGCACCCAAGGGACACCGTTTGCCGGCAGGCTTCCTGGGCTTTCCGGACCGAAGGTCGCTGAGCCAATAAGTGGTCGTGCCCTGTCGTGCCCATCGACCATGCTGCATTGGCTTGAAGTCATGCTAGGTTTCGTGTCGGAGGTTGAGATATAGTAAGGACGTCTGCTAAGCATTGTTGTGCTTGGGAATGGGACCCATCCATTCTGCAGCCGAAATGCCCTGATCCTGTCAAGACAGGGTTCTGCTGATGCAGGTTCCGAGCGCCTGCGCGACCGATTTGTGGTGGCTTCGCTGCCCAATCGTTTCACCCAAGCTCTACTGTCTGTGGAAGTTGGTACCCCTTCTCGAAGTCGGTTGTTTGGGGACTCGAGGTCGCATGTCTCTCGTTCGCCTTGCCGTGACTTGCATATTCCTCCACCCATACCAGTAGGGCAGATAGGTTTGGGTCTTAATTGAACTCCAAAGCATCCCGCCACCCCTGTCTCCATGTGGGCAGGCCTTCAATGCGCTGGCACATAGTGTCTATGCGAAGGCCTGGGGCCGACGACAGTGCAAGTTCTAGGAAGCTTCGTGTTGACGAATCGAGGTTCTCCCAGATTGGAAGCTGGCACCAACCTGGGATGGCGTTAGGGAGATGATCAACAAGATGTCGGATGCGCTACTACATCCCAAGGCGGATCGACAGAACTAGTGACCATAAGGCCATTACCTTCGGACACGAGTGCCAGTGGGTACGACACGAGTGGTCTCTGGCAGGTCAAAAAAGTGCAGGAAGAGATCAGCATGATGATGGGGCTGCCAGGGGCCTCTTGCACGTTGTCTCAGCGTTCTGCAGCACCCATACCAGTCCGTGCCGAGGCCAAGAAACGCACAGTTCGTGCCGCGTCCTGGCTGAATGGTGGCCCTTGTTACTTGTTGCATGACAGGATCACAAAAGTGACGAAGATTTCTTAAATTACGACTTGCAAGATTTGTCCTTCACGAGAGAAACTCAACGCGATGGGAAGTTCAAGTCACAGGATCCAGAGAGCCTCTGGCCTCTGTTTAGCTTCAGGCAACAAGTTTGAGAAGTGTCAACCAAAGACCTCAGCAGATCCTGCAGCATACTTCCCAGACCTAGCCAATAATTTCCTGCGTTGTCTCAAACCTCAGCCACCTGTCTCCATCAGTTGGAGTGCACCTACACCTTCCAAAACGAGGCCCTCCAAGGGATCCGAGCTGTTCCTCTACAGGCACTGGACCCTGTCTTTGTGTCGCGAACTGAAGCTCCGAAGCTTTGCGCGTCCTAGAGCCTCATTGAGATCTTGCTTCTACGGCACTGCTACGGCTTCATGGCTGCTTCATGAGTCTTCGTTCCTACCTGTGGAGATGATTGAGTCCAGTCTGCTGGCCAGGCCCGATGGCGATGCGCCAGGTGCAAGATCTTCGTTACCTTTGTTTCAGGCCGGACCCCCCAACGTGCTCAGCCCCTCAATGTGAAGGGTCATCCCAAGTCACAACGCAATATCTGGCGCGAGCCAATGTGAAATCGGGAGTGTCCTTTTGTGTAACTGCGGAAGAAAACGATGAAGCCGCCAGGATGAAGATGGCGACGAAGCACACGAGTTCCTGATTGAAGATCAGGACCTGGGCACGTGACGGTCTTTGACAATGCAGCGAAGGGCTCACACAACCCCAGTTTAAAGGCACTGCAATCACTCCTCGGGTGCAGGAAACCGGCGAGCTCAAGGTCCAAACTTCCAGTCTGAAGCAGGACCGGAAGGGCTCCGGATGAACCTGCCCTGCCCTTCGGAGCAACGACTGCGTGGAGGAGATGTGGTACGTTGTTGTCCACAAGCCGGCAGTCATGATTCGAGAACAGCCTGATGAGAAGGCCCGCGTGCGGGACAAGTTCGAAAGAACATTGAAATAGTGCGCGAGTGTAAGTATCGATCTCTCAGGCCAAGATGGTTGGCCGCAAGAAGGCCAGGAAGATGGGAGCCAGCCATGCGATGCTTGTGTGCGAAGAAGTGCAGCTACCAACACTGTGCAGGCTGGCAAAAGGCTGAAGGTTCAGCACGTGAAGGCCAGCCAGCCCATAGGAGATTTCTGAACGGTTTCAGTTTTTTGTGCAGCATCGAGCTGCAAGATATCAGCATGTCACTTTGCAAGCTTGAACGGAAGTGTGCGTGTATCCACGGAACAGACACGTTCTTGACAAGACCCTTGAACACCGACTCATTAGGTTTCAGGCATCAGTCCACATGGGGGACTAGCACTGGCTGAGATCCGAGTGTGTGGACTGCAACGCGTTTTGCAGGATGGTAAGTGGCTGCAGCTGGACAATTCCGAGCTGGTGAAGCTTGGCGTCCAGGAGGCACTCCTTGCTGCTCTTGCTGGCCCCTAAGCATGGACTCCGCTCCTGGCAGGCATGGGTCTTGATGGATCCAGTCGAAGCAGGACTGCCTCCCGGTCAACCTTTGCCACTTGGCGGCAGGGGCAATTCCAACACGTAAAAACTGTGAGTGAAGCTTCGCTCGTTCTTTGGATTCCTCCCGAAAAGAAGACTGCACCAGCATGCGACTGAGGTTGGAAAAAGTGGCAGCATGAGCACGCCATCACCTGCTCGTGGATCCGTCTTGCCTGAGCAAACCTGCATATCGCCTATGTGTAGTGCACTTGCGTCGCACAGCACTGGTCCAGTAGAGAAGGTACGACTCTGAATCTTACTGGGTGCTAGTCACAAGACACTTGTTGAAGGATCGCTGCTGTGCAAGTGTTCATTCCATCTAGGTCTGGCGGAGCATAGCAGGTGCCTCAAAATCGCCTCGAAGCCAGAAAAGAGAGTGTGTCCGTTAGTTAGTCTTACGCCGGTGCCTGCTTCCCGCTTGCTTTTCCTCGAGGCAAGGAAGCACCAACATGTATGCTCGCCACAAAAATCAAGAGCGGAGCTGCCTCAGTGCTTCGGGTGACTGAGTGCTTCAGGCTGAGCCGTTCCCGAGGCCCGTAGTCTCAAAGGTTGAGCCTTGTAGGTGCATCCTGTTTAAAGTACGTTTTAGTCCAAGTGCTAAGTTGAAGCCCTTTCGTCCTGCAATGAAACTCAGCGGCCTTGTGCTCCCCAAGTTACCGTAGCCGCAAGTGCACAGAGGCGATATTTCTGCCATGCTACTGCCGTGCTGTTTTGCGCCTGAACCACACCATGGTCACGTAGAGGATGCCACAAAGTTTCGAAGTGCATCGTGGAACTGCCTAGGAAATAGCCAGAGATGGGATGGACGCTCGGTCCGTTGTCGCCGTATTTCCAAGCATTCGTGGCTGACTGGGGGTTTTCGGGCATGGAGATCTTCTTGGCAACGAGGAAGGTATGCCATCAATTGCCAGCAAATGAACTGTCGTGGCATGTCAGAGATCCGCGTCCATGGAGGAAGCATGGCGAAGTGACGGGGCTCAGCATTGAAGCTAAGTGAAGAATCGAAGCCATGGCCGCAGCGCCAAGCAGAGGAAGGGCCTGATCCGAGCTGCCGCCCATGCTATTTGATGTTCTTCGCACGAGCTGTGTCCCTGGGATGGTGGGAGGCCCAGGTTTTGCCACCGATATACCCGAGTGACCAGGAGCTCGACGTCAGCAAATCCAAGTCAACCCGAAAGCTCCAGCTCCTCTCCGTGTGGCATCAACGTGTCATCAGGGTCTTACTGGTAACACGAAGACGTCCAAGTGACAAGCTTTACAGGAAAGACGAATTGCTCCTATGATCTCCTATTAAACGTTAGTTCAACCTATCCGACGCCAAGGTTCGCTTTGCCAGTAGCACGAGGCGAAGAGGACAGGGATGGATGCAATTCGCCACTGCTCGGCTTCGTGCATCGAGCAAGGAGACGTGCGACTTGCCGAATCCTGGTGAGGCAACGCAGAAACGCTGCACTTCAGTTGCAACAGGACGCTAGAAAACAGCAGCGAGACAGCCACTTCCAGGACGTGTTTTCGCACTGAAGAAATCGTTGGATTCTTTGGAACTGATTCTTGCCAAGGCTTCTCTCTCCGAAGAGACAGAGTCATGGTCACACGAGCACACATGCCAAAGGAAGGTGCGGCATTTAAAGGCGCCAGGGGCATTGACATGAAACGACACTGGCCGCGCAGCGACGGACGACTATGGATTGACCCTGCAGTGGTAAGTCTGTCACGGCAAGCTTTCCTGGGACGGTATTGTGCATCCAAGGTGAACGGAGCTGCACGGAATTGAATGCATTCCTTCGCATGCGCACAGACTTCGAGGCACCAGGGTTCATGCATGTCAACATTGGTTCACAGCAAGGTGTGATCCAGGCGAAAGTAGCCCATAAGCTCCCTCCTGCTAGCCTTCATCAATTGCGCGGCATTCCGTAGGCGATCGATGTGAACGTCTTGCGGGCAGCGGGTGAGATGAACAGCCACTCTTCTCTTGGAGCAGGGCTCGATCTTTCTCGGATTGAGAGACATCAGCCGGAGCATGCGGACACTAGACGGGCTTGACTGTTGGAACCGGGAGACTTCGTGACGTCCCCGGACGCATGACAACCACATGGCTCGACTGACATCAGACCGAACGATCAGCTGCTTTCCGGCTCAGGCTGGTTTTGGTGCCCGGCTGCTTTCCGAAGCTCGGCTTCGAAGGCTTCTCGTCGTTCCGGCCATGGCAGCGCCGTGTCAACGAGGGGCAGACCTTAGATAGCCTCGCATCTCAAGACGGTGTCTGAAATAATCCCGCGCCTGATCGTTAATCTTCGCCCGTTTCCCTGTAGCAATAGTTGGTTTTGCTCGGAAAACGATGACAAGAAAAACACAACACAACGCGGTTACTCAACACCGGTGGTTAGCTGCTAGAGAATGGTATCCAATGCCAACTTCGTCGTCATAGAGCCCTCCTGTTGTCCTAGAGCTTTGCACCCTTCATCATATGTGCAAGCTTACGCCCCCAAGCTCTGAGACTTGCATCAGGAGGTTTAGGAGTTCGGAGTCCCGGGCCCAAAATGTAGTGTGGAGCTAGGATGCTAAAACGATAGCGGAACGATAATGTTAGGTCAAAGACGGTAGAGTTTGTGAGTCGGGGTCTAAGTTGTGTTTCCGGACGGACAGTCTGCAATGAACAATTTCTCGGATGCCTCGGAAACACCTGTCGCTCTCAGCTTAGTCATGCTCCGCTCGTTCTCTGTTTGCGGTTCTCTTTGTCGCGAGAGCCCGGCATCGCGACCGAACCTTAAAACCCCTTGCCCCATCCCTAGTCGCCCTTGCCTTATGATGAGAAAAGCTTCGCATGCACTGGCAAAATGGATGTTTTCCGAAGCCTATAAGGAAACATGATAACATGGACACATTGCTAAGGTGCGTTGTTGAGAACTGGCTCATGCTTGCTTTGCGTTCTTCCATCGGTTCCATATTTCCTGTCCGTATGCTACTGCATCGTCTCGCAGAAACCCTTGCATTGTTCCTCGCACTGTATGCACTGTACTAAGCTCGGTCAAGCTCCCGATGTTTGCTCCATTCATATCAGGAAGCTTGCTTTTCTCGCAGCTGGCCAGTGAGATCAAGAAAGTCCCGTGCCCAAGCTGAACAATTTGCAAGGAAGTGCAGAAGTGCGGATGCAAACACTTGCTGACTGTCTCTGGGAGCGAGAGTTGTACGGTCTTTAGACCAACTTGTAGGATATTTCGAAGCATTGCTCGAACCCTATTACGGCGCTGTTCCCACCAGACAAGGCGTGACGACACTGGGCGCCGCCACGCCTCGAAGGCCATCCTCGCCGCTGAGGCAGAATGAGTCGCTTTCCCGCGAGCATCTGCAGCATACACGGTCGCGGAGCCTGCGGCTTGCAAAGCTTTTCCTTTCGTTGGTGACTGCTCTTCAGCTAGAACTTGCAGCCATGCGAGGCTAACTATGATGGAGCGAAACGAAGTTGGGGATGGTGGTGCTGGAAGCATTTTTGTGTAATCGAAGACTTTCTCTCGACTCAGTTCAGGCTGCCGTGCAAGAGCTGGTACTGAAGAACATGTCAGGCGCCGTCAAGTTTGGCGCTGGCTGTAAGGACGGCATCAGGTTCAACTGGCAAGGTGATCAGGTTTCCGGTTTTCTGACTTTGATTGAGAGCACATACCCTGGCACTGTCGTACTTCCCAGCATCTTGGCAATCATGTTGATCCCATGTTGATTGCTGCATGTTGTTCAAGCATCTTTGCCAGTAGCACGTCCTTCGCCCCCTGGTTCCACTTCGGCGCGCCGCTCGGGTTCATATTCAGTCTTTGAGGCAATGCTTCATGCTTCTTGTCTTTGTTCATTCGGCCATGACCAAGATGATTCACATGGGGTCCGCTTCTTATGACAGGAACTATGCGGTGTGCGTTTCAACAATCAACTGGTAGTCCCTCGAATGCGGGGAGCTGAAGAAGTGACAGTTCAGGCAGCAACAAACAGCAAACATCTGCA